TCAATTAAAAAACAAACAAAGAAAACAAAAACACACTTGTGTTTCCTAGGAAATTCCAAGCAATTTAGGAGATCTGTATCAGACATTCCTATCATTCAGGAAATTATGAGGGTTTTAGGAGTTCAGGGTGAAAGACAAAATTACTAGCAGAGCCAATATATATACTTATAATATCACTCACATCTATCACACACACACACACCCTATTGTCAGTGTTCCTTCTTACTTGAAGCATATTTCTGTATATGCCTGGTCTATTTCTGGGCTCTCCATTGCATTCCACTGGCCCACTTGTCTGTTCTTGTTTCAGTGCTGCACTCACTATAGCTTTATACAATAATTACTGTCAATAATTGTAGTGCAAGTTTTCCCACCTTATTTTTCCCTAAGAGTATCATTGTTTTTCTATATAAATTTTAGAATCAACTTGCCAAGTTTCTTGAAAAACAAAAACAAACACACCTCCCAGTTAGGAATTTTATTGGGATCTCATTAATATATAGATCAGTTTGAAGGAAAATGGGACATCTTTATTATCTTGTTGCATATTGCTTCATCCCCATTATTCCTATTGTATCCTCCTAGAAATTCCATTTTAAAAATGTCAGAGTGAGTCCTGGCCAGTTTGGGTCAGTGGATAGAGCATCGGCCTGCAGACTGAAGAGTCCTGGGTTCAGTTCTGGTCAAGGGCATATGCCCAGATTGCAGGCTCGATCCCCAGTAGGAGGTGTGCAGGAGGCAGCCAATCAATGATTCTCTTTCATCATTGACATTTCTGTCTCTCTCTGCCTCTCCCTTCCTCTCTGAAATCAACAAAAATATATTTTAAATATACTAATGGCCTGGTGCACAAAATTTGTGCGGGGGGGGGGGCAGGGCGTGGTGGCTCCTTTTGTTCAGCCTGCACCTCTCTCCAATTGGGGACCCTTTGGGGGATGTCTGATTGCCAGTTGAGGTCCGATCCTTGTTGGATATCCCTCTTGTAATCTGGCTCCTAACCATCCATCTTCCTGCTTGCCTGATCACCCCTAACTGCCTCTGCCTGCCTGCCTGATTGCCTCTAACCCATTTGCCTACTTGCCTGATTGCCCCTAACTACCCTCTCCTGTTGGCCTGATTTTGCCCCTAACTGCGCTCCCCTGCCAGCCTGATTGCCCCTAACTGCCTCTGCCTGCCTAATTGCCCCCAATTGCCCTCCCCTGCAGGCCTGATGTTGCCCCCAACTGCCCTCCCCTGCAGGCCTGATCTTACCCCCAGCTGCTTTCCCCTGCTGACCTGATCTAGTCCCCAATGGCCCTCCCCTGCTGGCCTGATCAACCCTAACTGCTTCTGCCTCGGCTCCCACCACCATGGCTTTGTCTGGAAGGAAGTCAGACATTTGGAAGATGGCCAGTCGACATGGTCTAATTAGCGTATTACCCTTTTATTAGTATAAATAGATTATATAGGATAGGATTGATTAAATGGGGGCGGGGAGAGAGCCTTTTTCAGCAGGAGGAGATGCTCTTGGCAGACAAAAATACATAATCCCTATATCTGGACTGATAGCCAGCCATATGCACTGTATTGCCAAACTGGTCATTAAAAAATTGAACCACTTTCTTATACCTTACACCAAATAGCTGTTGCCCTTAAAACCCCTCCTCAGCCCCCACATGAGGTTCTGCCTTCGCAGTTCACCCAGATTAGGTTCTGATTGGTCAGTTTCTATAGCAGTCAGTGTCAAAAGCTCTGCCTCCTAGGCAGCCATTGGCTCCTTGCAGATCACCGAGATTTGGTTCTGATTGGTCAGTTTCTATGCCAGTCAGAGTCTCTGGGCCTTATCTCCAGGCCTGATCAGAGAGGCAGGGCTGATCAGCTCTGGGCCTATCTCTGTCTGCTGTTGGCGAGGTCTGAAGAGAAAGAAAGGCAAGGGCTGATCAACAGCTGCCATGGAGGCTGTGGATCAGACCCTGCTTCTCTCTTCGGGCCTCTCTCTGGGCCTGATCCACAGCCTTCTCGGTAGTTAGTGCTGGGTCACCATGGCACCAACACCACTGACTGCAGGACTGACTTCCAGTGTTTGGTTGTCCGTTCGTTCCTTTGGACATTATGGACCCTGGCATGCGCGCGCGCGCTCTCTCTCTCTCTCTCTCTCTCTCTCTCTCTCTCTCTCTCTCTCTCTATATATATATATATATATATATATATATATATATATATATATAAGTTTTTACAAAAAGACCATCTGCCCTGGCAGGGTGACTCAGTTGGTTGGAGCATCATCCTATACACCAAAGGTTGTGGGTTTGATCCCCAATCAGGATGAATGTGGGAGACAACCGATCAATGTTTTCCTCTCTCCCTCTCCCTCTCCTTCTCCCTCTCCCTCCTCTCTCTCCTCTCTCTTTCTCTTCCCCTTCCTCTCTCACTAAAAGACAATTTAATTGTGTGAGGATTAAAAATAAAGTCAGACCATCTGAGTTTCAGTTATTATATTTTTCATTTCTATAAGCCTATACGGTTCTTTTAATTTCTGCTTGGTCATTCTTTATAATCTCTTTTTCCCTGTTCATATTTTCAAGAGTCTCGTATTTCTTAAAATCAGTATTTCATAATCTGTGTCTGATAAATCTCATATCTGAAATTTTTTGAGTCTGATTCTTCTGTTTGCTATTTGTGCTGGCTCTGTCTTATATTGCTTTGTTTTCTTGTATGTTTTTATTTTTTTAAAAACCAAGAAACGGTGACCTTATTTCTTTTCCTTGGAACTTTATCTTGGGAATTATTTGAGGCTTGGTTTGAGGTTGTTTTCCTACAAAGAGGATTTGCATTTCCTTCTGCTAACCCAGGGACACTTTAAATTAAATGAAAAGTCTAGTCAAGAGTTTTCTGCCTGCACAAGAATCTGAAAACCGACCTTTGTGGATTCAGTCTAACCTGAGGTGAAACCCTCACTCTGTCATTTACTGTGTGACCTCGGGCAAGTCATTTAATCTCTCTGCCTGTCCCTTCATCTGTGAAATAGCAATAACACTTGCTCCTTAGGCAATTGCAAGGATGAAACGGGATAATGTACATAAATAAAGTGCTTACCTGGGTTCTTTTACACAGTTGGTAGACAGTGAAAGTCATTCTCTTCCCCTGAAGAGCCCCTCTTTTCTGCCCCAGCCAGTGGGGATAGCCTAGGCCATGGTCAGCAAACGGGCTCGAGAGCCACACACGGCTCTTTGGCCCCTTGAATGTGGCTCTTCCATGGCCCAGGCGAGTCTATTTTGAAAAAAATGGCATTAGAAGAAGTTTAAGTTGAAAAAAAAATTGGCTCTCAAAAGAAATTTCAATCGTTGTACTGTTGATATTTGGCTCTGTTGACTAATGAGTTCGCTGACCACTGGCCTAGCAATAGCCCCTAGCTTTAGTCCCGTCTCTCTCACACAGGATCCGAGTTAGAGTGGGAGCCGAGTACTTTATTAATCCTCAGCTGAGGATATTTTTCCTTTGATTTTTAGAGAGTGGGAGAGCGAGAAAGAGAGACAGAAAGACACACAGAGAGAAACATTGATGTGAGAAAGATACATCGATTATTGCCTTTGCACATGCCCCAATGTCACACCTGAGATACATGCCCTTGACCAGAATTGAGCCCAAGACCCTTCAGTCCCCAGCTAACGCTCTTTCCACTGAGCCAAACCGGCAAGGTCAGGGCCCGAGTTCTTTAGACCTCGCTCCTGTGGCTCCTTCAGCCTTCAGCTGTGGGATGATGGCCTCCGGAAGCCTGTGAGAGATGCTCCTGCTCAGCCCTGACTGTGGTGGGGAGTTGTCTGGGAGGCCAGTTTGGGCCAAGAAACAAGAAAAAAAAACACGACATGTATTGCTTCTTCAGATGCTGCAGGACTCTTGTGTTCATTGGTTATGATTATGTAAAAAATATTCTTTGTAACTCTATAGTGGAACATGAATAACAAGTCATTAAAATGGTTTATAATTTAATTCATGGGAACATACATTGGCAGTAATATAAATGTGAAATAAACAGAAAGTTGTTTATTGCCAAGAAAACATTTTAAATACTTTGTATAACAAAGAATAGAAAATATTTAATAATATGAACTCATCTATATTGAGAAAAATAGAGAAAAGGAAGCTGGATGGAAATGTGCCCTGGTGTCAACTGTGGTTATTTCTGAATGGCAGAATTCTTGAGTAATCTTTTTCTGCAATGGCAGAATGGAATAGACAGCAAAAGGTGGCCTTGGAGTCAGGAAGTATTGTGTTAAATTGGTACCTTTGTGGCCTTAGACCACATGTGTCAAACACAAGGCCCGCGGGCCAAATCCGTCCCGCCAGGCCTTGCAATGTGGCCCACACCGCGCTGTCATCACTGCACTCCGCTGCGTTTCCATCACAATGACAGTTTATGACTGTTCAGTAAACCATTCGGCCCGCGATTTAGGCTGGATTTTAGATTTTGGCCCCTTCTCTGATTGAGTTCGACACCCCTACCTTAGACAAACAACATCCTCTCTGGGTGCTAGTTTCCTCACTGTTGGGTTATTTTGAGGATCAAATGAATAATGGGTCTAAAGCAGTGGTCACCAACCTTTCGGACCTTGCGGACCACCGGTTGGCGACCACTGGTCTTAAGTGCCTAGCCTTTGGTTTGGCACAAGCTGGCTCCATAAATGGTAGCAGTTATTATTTTTACATATCAGTATTCTTTCTAGATTTAAAAAGTACTGAACATGTAGTACTTTATAATCAGTTACAATACAGCAGTAACAAGAACAGTATTTTCTTGCTGATAGAAGTATTTTACATCCCCAGGTTGGGTGTGTGCAGTTTGCAGACTCTTCCCTGACTCCAAGGATAGGCCCAAAGACTAAATACTTAGGAGCCATTGCAATGGGTTAGGGTGGGCTGGGCAGTGGGTCCTGGTCCTGGCCTGGGGGTGAGGGGGCTGGGCAGAGGGTGAACTGCAGCCCTGGCTTTAGAGGTGCTGAGCCCCCCTTCTGTCTGCCTAGGACGCAATGAGCCCCTGAAGAAGGAGCGGCTAAAGTGGAAGAGCGACTACCCCATGACGGACGGGCAGCTGCGGAGCAAGCGGGATGAGTTCTGGGACACAGCACCTGCCTTCGAGGGCCGCAAGGAGATCTGGGACGCCCTCAAGGCTGCCGCCTATGCGGCTGAGGCCAATGACCACGAGCTGGCTCAGGCCATCCTGGATGGAGCCAGCATCACCCTGCCGCATGGTGAGCGCCAGGGTGGGGCCTGGTCCCGCTGCAGGCGGGGAGTTGCTATCCACGCTGGTGGGTGGCGGGGTGACCATCCACTTGTTCATTCAGCAATCCGTATGGGCAGGACCAGGAGTGAGGGCACAAAGGAAAATGAGACACAGGCCCTGTTTGCCCAGTGAGGGAGTGGAAAGGCACCAGCAAACCTCCAGTGTGATGAGAGCAGGCTAAGGATTACTCAGGTGCTCTGAGATCCCTGAACACCTAAGGGACCAGCCTTCTGTTGGGTACTTACGTGCTGAGCACTGAACTAGAAGCTTCTGCATTTACATTCATAACAGCCCGTGGGACTGTGTAAAGAGGGGGTAACGTAGAACTCTATAGAGTCTTAGACCTAGGTTTAATGCGAGCGTTCCCTGCTTTGTGACCTTGAGCTAGGAGCTTTTCGAATTTCAAGCCGTAGTGACTTTAAGTTGGTATATCTACTTCATGGGCTGGTTGTTAGGATTCAGTGAGCTACCCTAACATCAGTTAGTCTAGTCCTAGCACTTAGTAGGTGCTCAGGGCACAGTAAATGTATTTCTACCTGCAGTACATTGTACAAGCAAGGAAACTGAGGCTCATTAGGTATAACACCACCCCCTCCTACCCCCAGTCAAGACATGAAGAGCAGGGCCTGTACTGTTTCATTAATTCTTATAAACCCAGCACCCAGCACATTTGCTCAGGAATGTTGTTGAATAAACAAATGGAAAATTAAATAATTTGCCAGGATTGCACAAACAGGATTGGCCAGCCAGGTCTTCCTGACTCTACCTTGAGCTCCTTCCAAGCTCACTCAGGGACACATGACTGAAGGGTGGGCTTGGGACTGTGGGTGGCCACGACAAGTGTATTAGTCTGCTTGGGGTGCTATAACAAAATACCATAGACTGAATGGTTTATTAAATAACAAATGTATTTCTCAGAGTTCTTGAGGCTGGGAAGTTCAAGACCAAGGTGTGAGGTGGAATCAGTTTTAGGCAAGAGCTCTCTTCCTGGCTTGTAGACAGCTGCCTGCTTGCATTGTCCTTACATGGGAGGGGGGGGGGGATGGGGGGGGAAGAGAGAGAGCATTCTTTTTTCTTTTTTTTTAATATATTTTATTGATTTTGTACAGAGAGGAAGGGAGAGAGATAGAAAGCTAGAAACATCGATGAGAGAGAGTCATCCATCAGCTGCCTCTTGCACACCCCCTACTGGGGATATGCCCGCAACCAAGGTACATGCCCTTGACCGGAATCGAACCCGGGTCCCTTCAGTCCCCAGGCCGACGCTCTATCCATTGAGCCAAACCAGTCTCGGCAAGAGAGAGCATTCTTGTGTCTCTTATAATGATACTGATTCTGCCAGATCAGGGTCCCACCCAAATTATCTCGTTTCACTTTAATTACTCTCACATAGGCCCCTGTCTCCAAATACAGTGACACTGGGTTTAGAACTTCAGCATACGGATTTTTTGTGGAGCTATAATTCAGCCCCCAAGCCTACTCTGATAGCCCTGTCTCCCTCAGGCACTCTCTGTGAATGCTACGATGAGCTGGGCAATCGCTACCAGCTGCCCATCTACTGCCTGTCGCCACCCGTGAACCTGCTGCTGGAGCACACGGAGGAGGAGAGCGTGGAGCCACCGGAGCCCACGCCCAGCGTCCGCCGTGAGTTCCCGCTGAAGGTGCGCCTCTCCACGGGCAAGGACGTGAGGCTCAGCGCCAGCCTGCCCGACACAGTGGGGCAGCTCAAGAGGCAGCTGCACGCCCAGGAGGGCGTCGAGCCGTCCTGGCAGCGGTGGTTCTTCTCTGGGAAACTGCTCACAGACCGCACGCGGCTCCAGGAAACCAAGATCCAGAAAGATTTTGTCATCCAGGTCATCGTCAACCAGCCCCCACCACCCCAGGACTGAGGAGCCTGCGGATCCCTGGGCAGCAAGGCCAGGGAGGGCCTCGGGGGGCTGAGCACCAGGCCCCTCCCTGCTGCTGCCTTGGAGTGCTGATATTTTCCTGAGGGGTGCCTCCCTGCTGTTTGGCTGCTGGGCGAGCCGTAAAAGGGACCTGCCTCCCAGAGCCACCGGGGGCCACCAGTGCCCAGCACCCAGGAAGCAGTGCTGCCACCAGGCCTTGCCAACCCTGTCAGAGAAAAGGAAAACTGGGGCCCTCCACCCTGCCCATCTCCAACAGCAGGTTCGAGCCATGAGGGCCAGCTGGAGGCCCCTGAAGCCCAGTTCATCTGGTGCTTCCAGCTGTGCTCACTCGGTTTTCTGCTCAGGGTCTGAAGCAGCTGCTGTCTCCCTCCCCTGCCTCTGTCCCCTGGCTCTGCCTGGGCACAGTGCCAGTGCCCTGGAGGGGAGGGACTGCTCATGAGCCCCAGGAGCTGGGAGCCTGAAGCCAGCCTTTGCCTCTCCTGCCCCCAGCACAATTGGCAGAGAGGCGGCGGTTGGCTGGACAGCTGGGCTGCTGTGGCGGGGGTCTGCACTGGGCCATCTCCTGGCTGTAACCCAATCGATGGGGTGCCTGCAGCCAGTCTTGGCCCCACAGCAGTCCCTGTGTACAGATATATCTGCATATTTATCAATAAAGCCTTTTGCTCCTTCCTTCTCTCTTGCCTGGCTATAACTTTGGGTTCCCTGCAGCTCTGTGGAGCCTGGGAACCAGTTCTGGTGTGGAGAAGGTGGGCCCGGCCTCCCAGCGGCTCAGGGTGCAGCAGAGAGTGCAGAGGAGCAAGCTTTGAACACTAGCGGCTGGGCCCTGTGTGCTCAGGGGCCTTCAGGAAGAGCCACTCAGCCTCTGAATCCACTTTGCTTACCTTTCAAGTGGATGCGATGCCACCTGCCCTGCCTCCTCCCTCAGTTGCTGGGAGTATCAGTAGGCTAACAGATGTGAAGAAGGCAGCATCTCAGGAAGGTGGCTTTAGGGACCTGCCGGTCTGTTCCTGCAGCAGGAGGGTGCTGGCTTCTGGCTCCAGCCCGAGCCAGACCCTCGGGACTAAGGTGTGTGCGATCCTGGAGACGTTGCTCACTTGCTGATGTTAAAACAAATTTCTGACAAACTTAGAGCATGTGTTGGCTTGCCAGCAAGGGGACCAGAGACAAAAGGGAGCTGTTCCTGTGCGTTCTTAGGGGAAAGTGTGCAGGTAAGCAGAGAGGGCAATCTTGGATAAGGTGGACAGGCCACGTGAGTGTTACAGAACCTCAGAGCTGTGGAGTCCATGGCCGTTAAACATGGGCTGAGCAGGCTCAGGCTGCTGCTGCTTCAGTTGAGAGTGTTTTTCTTTTTCAGCGAGCATGGCTTGTCCCCAGTCAGGGAGGCCTGACAGGAAACAGGAGAGAAGGACGGTCAGTCCGAGCTGGTGGTCATCTAGCTTGGTGATGTACTCAGGCCCTCCCACTGGCTTCCTGAGACCCTTACTGAAGGAAGACCCTGTACCTCCTGCAGAGGCCCCCTGAAACAGCCGGATCAGGAACTAAGGAACATACAGCCAAGTGCTGGGATACTCTGCTAGGGGGCGCTGTGGGACCCCAGAGAGGCAAAGGCCTGCAGGAACCGTGCACAGAGGGAGGCAGCTGCCCTGACCCCCGCCAGCCACTGGCACGTCAGCCGGGATGAAGCGTCTGCCCCTTTCCAGAGCCAGCAGGGCCTGAATACAGGACAGCCCAGGACACAGGACTCTCTTGAGTCCCCACTTGGGCTTTCGGGCCCCCTGGTTAGCACTGGCTGGGCAGTTTTCAGGCGCCCAGCAGGTGGCACTGTCATCAGGACTAGAGACAGCCAGTGGGCCCTTCCTGCAGCCCAGCTGGCCTGGCTAAGCACCAGCTGGGCCTAAGCACTCGTGGTAAAAGCTGAGCAGGCTCCTTCCTGCAGCCCCTGCTCTCGGGGTCTGTGCCCTCCAGCTCTCATAGGTCGTGGGATGTAGGGGCAGCTGTCCTTGCCTCCCCTGCTCTCTCCGGCTACCCAGGGTGAAGGTGGCGGGGGCAGGGAGGGGGGCAGGTGGAGAATTGAGCCGGTGAGCTCATGGCAAAGGCGCCCAGCAGGGCGGGGGTGGGTGCCCTGGTCTATAAAGCCCCCGTGGCTCTTGGCCTGCAGAAGCGGGTATGGACAGCACCATGGCGGGCTCCGAGGCGCTACAGAGCGCCACCGCGCTTATTGAGGAGCGGCTGGCACAGGAGGAGGAGAATGAGGTATGGGCAGAGGTGTGTGTGCCCAGGGGGGTTCTGAGGGATCCAGCTCTTCTGTCAATGGAAGGAAGAGGCTGGCTGCCACGCCTGTGGTGAAGGGGGACAGGTATCCCTCGGGCTCCATTCCAGACAGAGGGTCTCCTGGTGGAGAGGGCTTGAGGTATCAGCCCTAAGAACTGAAGGACAGTGGGGCGAATGAGCCAAGCTGGGCTCCCCGAGACCCTGCCCATGCACCTGGGCCTTGAGATAAGCTGCTGCATAAAATGAGACAGCTGGGAAGCTGCCTGGGGATGTGGGGATGTGGGTCCCTGAGGTCCCCCAGTTCCTGGGCGGGAGACTGAGACAGGAGAACTCCAGGCTGGTCACTGAAGAAGAATAAAGATGGGGAGCAGAGGGAGAAAGGAAGCAGGGGTCTCCTCAGGACTGCCAGCCACACCTGGAGAGGCCGTGGGAGCATGGGGCCCTGGGCAATTGCATTTTCTTCTAAATAAAGAAATGGGGGGGGGGGGGGGCGTGCCAGCTTGTCTTGCTTTTTTTTTTATTTTTTATTTTTTATTATTGTCTAAAGTTTTACATGTCTGCTTTTCCCCCAATTGACATCCTCTCCAGCCATTCCCACCCCCAGGCAAGCCCTCACTACCCAGTTCTGTGGCCATTGGTTATGCTAATATACATGCATTGCTTTTCATTTTATTTAAACCAATACTTGACCTAAAGTCTGCTCTGCCAAGTGCGAAGTGCTGTGAGAACTGAGAGGACCTGTAAGGCCAGTCCCTGCCTCCTTTTTTGCCAGCCTGCATTCCTTTAGCCAATACCTGTCAGAGGCATAGTCTACTAAGGAACAAAGCAGAGTGAGGGAGTGTGGAATAGCGGTGTTAAGTCAGGAAGAAGTGAAGGAGCACAAAGGGTGGATGAGTCATTGCAACCTTAGGCCCTCAGGGACTTCTCTGTGGACAGGATGGCATTTGAGCTGGGTCTTCAAGAATGGTGAGTGGAGATCAGGAGTTGGAAGGGTATTCCAGGCTGAGGAAAAGACAGACACTGAAGCTTAGATAGGTGAGAGCATGACTGTTATTAGAAATTCTGGTAGCAGGGGCTAAGACTGGGAAGGGAAGCAGGACAGAAACCAGAGGGCACATATGAAAGGTATTTATTCTGTGGGCAATGTTGTTGAGTGAGAGAGGGTGGTGCCATCTGACCTACTTTGGGAAGGCAACTCAAAGCCCTAAGAAGGACTTGTTAGAGGAGGAAAGACTGGCCCTAACAGGAATGGGAGGGAGAAGACAAATCAGCTTAGACGTAGACTCCATTCAAAAGAAGAAGAGTGACGAATGGGGTGAGGGTGAGGGAAGGATCAGGGCCCCAGTGGAAGAAGAGATGAGGGCTAAGGAAGGGAGGGAAGGCTTGTAAGTGAAGTTTGGACCGAGCCTTCTGAGTCTTGGCTTGGGCATCCCTGGAAGTCCAGTAATGCCATTTCTCACTCCCCCAAGGGCCTGTGCACCAGTGCCAGGCAGGTGAATCATGCCAGGGTGCCATTTTTGGAATGCTGGATACAGAGGCCTTCATCAAAGGGACATGGGGCAATCCTCATCCATTCATTCATACCACAAATATAGCAGCAGGGCTCTGGGGACACTGGGTGCCCGCAGAGCCAGCCTTCCCTTGGAGTCTAGTAGCTCAGCAAGTGCCGGCTACTCTGCTACCAGTAAGCAGTGCACAGGCACTCACTCTCCCATTCAATCTGTGCAGCCATTCATGGAGTGAAGCGGAAGTTTTGTTGTGCTTCACGCACCAGCATCCAGTGCAATGGCATTTATTGAGCACATGCTGCATGCCAGCCCACAAAGACAACCTGACGCTAGGGGCCATAGCGTCCGGGTAAGACACGGATGAACATTAGAGTCCTCAGTTGTTCCCACCAGCCCCAAGCCCAGCAGGGTCCTCAGAGGAGAGCCTCTGTCCAGTCTGTGCCCCCTTCTTGGGGTGGGAGGGGAAAAGGTCCTGGGGACCCGCCCAGGAACGAGGCTCCGTTGTGGGACACTTACTGGGGCAGGTCATCCCTGAGGACTGAGGGGTGGACAGAGATGCTGAGCCCACCTGCCATCATCCATTCACTCGTTCATTCATTTATCCTCTAAACCAGGAATGGGGAATATCCGGCCCATGGGCCATGAAATCATTTGGTCTGGCTCTGCCAAGGCATTAGGGGGATGAGTTAATTAAATGTTTGACCAAATATAGCAGGCTCATTTTTTACGGGAATAATTTCGTATGGCCCATGAATGATGTCGTAAATATCCAAAGGGCCCTTGGCAGGAAAAAAGTTTCCCACGTTCACTGAGCACCTACCATGTGCTAGGCCCTGTCACGGGTGCAGGGGGTACCACGATGATTAGAATCCGAGCCCACGCTCTGGCTGCTCCATCCGAACCCCAGCCAGAGCCCCACATACAGGAGTAGCTGCAGCACGCGGTCACCCCTTGGCCCTGGGAGAGGAAGCAGTGTTTCAGGAGAGGCCAGCACTGGGGATACCTCAAACCACATAAACCTGACATGGAAGAGAGAAGCCCATGGACGGGACCTCCAAAATAAAGACCTGGGAAATCGGAACCACCCTTGGCAAGTGAGACAGCAGAACTCAATTGAGAGCTCTGTAAGGGTGGCCATTCCTTCCAGCCTGCCATCTTGACCAGCACCATCCCGCCTGGGCGAATGTTCCCGGAGCGCTGGAACCTCAGGGATGGGGGCCAGCTCTTCACAAAGAATGCTTTTCCTTTAAGAGAGAAGAAGGAAGTAGTCAGGCAGGTAGGTCAGAGCTCTGAGGAACCCCAATGGAGAGGAGACTGGGAAGGGGTTTCGCCTGTATTTTTACAATGAGAATAAGGTTACTAGAGTCTACGTCAGCTGACTCTCATCCCTTAGGTTCCCTGAGAGCAACAGTTTCTATGCTTTAGGATTTCATGGACCAGTAAAATCTGAGGGGGGAAAAAGTTGGTATCTGACATAGATTTGCAAATTTTTTATATCGCCAAGTAAGCCATTTAAAAAATAACCATCTCTCATCACATTGTTTCATCAAAGTAAATTTTTATGGCATAAAGAAGCTTAAAAAATAATCTCACTGCTTGAAAAAGTTAATATACTAGGTGTACCGGTTAATAATGCAGATTTTTTCAATAGATGGGGTTACATATATGTTGATATATATGTGATTTGATATGCATGCTATTTTGTTGTATTGACAATAAGCTTCAAAACTTCATATGTCAAATTTTCTGAAGGTGTTAACATCATAGATATTTTTACACTTAAAAATGTCAAATTTTGTGCCCCAAAAAAAGAGTGTTTGCAGGAATGTTTAATTCATTATTTTGAAGAAAAGTGTTGTTGAAAGTTATCGTATACTTCGGGAAGCTTAT